TCCCCTTCGAGTCCGTGTTTTAAACCGCGGTTCATAAACCAGCTGAGGCGTTCCCGGGGGTACGGCCGGGTGGCCGTGAAGCGGTGAGTGGAAAGCGACGTCGTGTTCAGGGGTTCTCTTTAGCAGGGGTGTAAGTCGAATATCTGTTGCCGAAACACCGCGCTCCTGTTGTGCGCAGCCTGCTGAGCTCTGTGCGTAAGTTGTTTGGGGCTCTTGCCCCACGTTGGGAAGTGCTGTCAGCCCAGTGCTTCGCACGACCTTGGCGTGTCTCCCAGTTGTGGAGCTTTTGGATGATATTTGTCAATGGCCAGGCTTTGACTGCGGAGTGGATTTCTAGATTCCCGTTGCTCGGCGAGACCTAACGGGTGCGTGTACAGGACAGGCAAAAAAAAAGCGTTCTAGATGGTAAACATAGGCGTTTGGTTAAATGGTAGCGCGTTGGCCGTGTTATAGAATACGTGGTATTTGGTTGCTGTTGGCGCGCCGTGTTTAGTCAGTGTTTGTGCTATCCTAGTTTAGTGGCTGTGATGTAATTTCTTGTTCTGGATTCCCTTTGCTATTGGAAAACGTCGGTATTACAGAAATAGAATTCTATACCGACCCTGCAGCGAGAAGGTTTGGGATACCCTACAATAGACACAAAGTTATTTGGGTGGATTTCTACCAAGCATCGCTAGTTAGGTCTCATGCTGCAAATCTTATTATGCCTTTACACAGGTAATTAGGGGAGATTTTTGTTACTTCATATCACACATTTGGTATGGATGTTGCGTTTGAACTTCCTAGAACATATTAATGAATTCCTACAGTGATTTGTCTCTAGCAATAACTCAGTTATGCTTCTACGTATGCTTTGCCTGTTCTTGGCTTTTTAATTTCCCACCTTTTCTTGAATATTTCTTTATGCTTTTGTTTATAAGAGGAGGATTGTTCTCAATACCTTCTCTCTCCTCCTCTTGTTCAGCTTCATTCTGCTAATGTGAACAGACAAAGCGAAAGCGGGAAGCCCCGTAGTCTTCTGGTACTTTTGAGATGGAGTGGTAGTTGTGGTCTTCCAAATGATTGTTCCTCCTTCCAAGTAGGATTGTTCTCTGTATTTTTCTCCTATTGAGTTCCCTGCGTAGTGTTTCTGCTTCAGATACTTCCATAGTGGAAAGCCGCAACTTTCTTTTTTTTACTGCTTTCTTAGTGTTTGTCTGATGGTGTGTTTGTCCCATCTAGCTTCCTGATGTTCCAGACTGGCTATAAAGGTCGATAGCTGTGTTGTATCTTCAGGATAGGAAGGGATAAGATCTGGAGTAGAGGAAATGCTGTAAGGACTTTGTAGTTTTGGAAAGTGCTTGCGGGAACACTTTGGAGAACAAAGCGCTGTCAGAAAACACAATGGTATTACTCAGGAGCTTGTCAGCCTAGACGTACTGTCTCAAATTAAGCTTGGGTGGTTTCAGGGTGGTTCAGAATTGTACTTCAACATGGCTAAGGGATTTTGATGGCAAGCTTGAGTGTTTGTTCACAATAATTTTGATAATATGCGTGTTCAGGATGATCGTGCCTACAGGGGAAGCAAAGCTGTAATATGTAGCAATGTTAGTAAGTGGTTTTTGTCTCATACTGGTTCGGACTCCAATTTCTAAATAGTATTGCTGTTGCGATCTGTGTGGTTTTGTCCCATCTTTCGTGGGTCTGCCTTGAGGGACTCCTCAAAGGAGGACAGCCTGCAGACTTCAAGACTATACACTAATAATAGAAAGATGGGTCGTGCTCGGGAGCTTTCTTAAAATATAAGCAACTGAATAACGACCGAACAAGCTGATCACTGCACGTGGAAGCGTATCGACTTGGTGCTGAGGGTAGGAAGCACAGTGAGGACATGAAGCCCTGCGGTGTCAACACAGCCATCAGTGCCATCTCCGTAACAAATTCATCTCGGAGTTCTTGGAAGGATGGGGGATTCTTATTCATCTTAAGCTGAGGAGCCTGTATTAGTTTACCTTGTCAGTGCTTTACTCTGCTGTAGCGTGAAGGAGAGACAGGATATTTCTACACCATCAAAAACCTCAGGCTGCACTCTGTGTGTGAGGTAGAATAAATGTTCCTTGGGGCCCGACTTGCTTCTCTGTAGTTCGTGTGACGCACCGATGAAACAATAACCCATGTTTCTCTGGGCATTGTAAATTCCAAATGTTGCAAATTATAAAAATGAAACAAATAGCGTAGGTTTTAATTGGGAGGGGATATTTTGCAAAGAAGCCTTTATTGTTACTGCCTCTGGAAACTGAGACCCCGTGGCTTTTGTGCAAGGTAGAAAATAATTCAGGCTGACAGGTTATGTAAGTTTAGTGTACGGGTCGGTCCTGCCCATCCGCCCCCTGCAGAACCGTTTTTTCTGAGATTCCTGCTCCGAATCCTTTGTTTACATATCTAATTGTGAGTGTGCTGTCCTGTCCGTTCAGTAGTGCAGCTGAGGAGGTTGTTTTCGTCAGAAATCTACTTCTGTGTGCTCCTCTAGTGTTAACGAGGGGTTGAGGTTCTGTTTGTTAACGGCTCGGGCTGTTTTGAAATTCGTACAAACCCAGTATTTACTTTTGTTACGTTTTTGTTATACTTTTTAAAAATGGATTTAAAAGAGATTTTGAAACCAGTGACAAACTGTGACACATTTGAAGACTGGTTTAAAAATAGCTGTTGTTTTTTATCTTGTTGGTGCATAGTGCCTGATTGTTTTTCTCCCACATCTCAGCAAGAATGGAAGCATTCAAACATTTCGATATGGCAATGAACTATATGTCTGTCTGTTTCAGGATGTGTTTGGTGTATGTGGAGACGAATGGGACATACTGACTTGAATATTTATCTTGAAAATCACTTTTGTTGCTGTCAATTGACTCAAGTAAATAAAATTTTACCAATATTTGTGGTTTGGATTTTGACCTTAAACGGTTGAGTCACGTGCTTCCTTTGGATGGTAATAAACATACTAAAGAAACTTCTTTCTTGGATCTGTAATACGAAATGTCTTAATTAGCTTTCAAAACATCCACTGTGATTTCACAGCAATATTTTTTTGCATGAAAACAAAATATAAACATAGAATATCTACTTTATTAGTAAGACTTACCTTTATATCAAGAAATGTCACAATAAATACTTGCTTTACATTTACCAAATTTATGAAGAACAGAGAATCCTTTAAGTAGTCTAAGAATGATCACTGGCCTTGCAGAGGGGTTTGGGGATTTTTTGGTTGGCTGGTTTGGACAGATGGTTCCAAACAGCATTAATAAAATAGCAGCAGCCTATGCATGGAGTTGGTAGGAGGTGAGTCTGTGGTCTACAGTGCGTTTTGTGCTAGAAGTGAAGAACGTAGCTGGCAAATATAAAATCCTGTATTTTAAATATCGGTGTGGAAAAAGGCTCTGGTTGTGGTTTTGTGTCACTTAGAGAATTAAAATAGCTTTTAGCGATGCTGCCTGCAGTTTATTTTGGTCTTCTGATAGTCTGCAGTCCTTTTTTTTTTTTTTTTTTCTGACTACTTTTTTTAACTGAAAAAAAGGAGACCTTTTTAGGGCTTTTTGTTACTACTCATGCTCATAGTCATTGAGTGTCCATGAGTACTATGCTGAAAATACTTATCTCCTTGTTATCAAAATATCCTTTACAGTCTTGTTCCAGTAGCTTTTTAGGAGAGAAGCCTGACTGCTAATGAAGCATGTAGCTGTTAAACTGGCCTTCCAGCCTTCGCCAAACTTTATACTTTTATGAAATACATCCTCTATTATATTTTGACAAAGAGCACTAGTCTGCACATTCAGAAATATTTCCAGCGTTTATAGCTTACCATAGCATGTGTTTTCCATCTGTTAAACTTGATTTTAAAATTTTTGTCTCGCACTGCCCACAGAGCTATTTATTCCACAGTGTGCGTGGTGCGATGCAAGGTGATAATTTGGAGACTTTGCAGTGTCTGTCTCCAGTAATTGTTGTTTAGCATTAGTAGCATTTGGCTAATATTCCTTTATTAGGCACACCTGGTCATGGATCCTGCTTGCTTTTGTGCTCTGCTGCTGTTCTGTAATTACAAATAGGAGAAACAGTTTACTGTTGCAACCAGTTAGGGGCATAGAATTAACAGTATTCTATTCTGCTCTGTAATATTTCCTATGTTTGAGAGGATTAGAAGATTTATTCCTACCACTGTCCTCAGTTTAGCTGTTTTCTCTGTGCAAGTTTATTCTGGCTGTATTGGGATAGCGTGGCACGTGTTGGAGCTCTTGGTAGAAGCTTTTATGCTGTGATATTTGCCAGTGTTTGAAATATTTGATACTTCTGTTTGCATCTCTTGCAGGCACAATTTTGCTTTTGTATGTTCTCATAAAAGACGTTGCACCGGTGTACAGTGTCATTTGCAGTGTTGACTTTCTCTTTTGAAACAGAATCTGCACTGGGTAGAGATATAGATTATATTTGTTAGCCTACGTCAGTCAAAGTCTTGCACTGACATTTTCTATACCAGTAACTAAAAATATCGATGTAGACAAGGACTTGAAGTAACCACACCTGCATCGTGCAGCTACGTAGAGGTAACCCATAAAACATGGACAAAACTGCTGGAACTAATTAACTTCAAATTACAGTGTTAGTGTTGACTGTGCAATGCCTTACATGCAGTTCTCTTGCACTTGATGAGGTTTCAGCACGTGCTGCTTTGTAACTCTTCAGCCTTGTCTCTTGACACAGCAAGGTTTTGGGCTTCTTGTGAAGAGCATCTCTGCGGCTTTGTATAGAGAATTCTTGTATTCAACATCTCATCCTTATGTGAATACGTAAAGTCATGAAGCACATTTTCTACATCTGCTTACTATAGAGAATCATCACAACTGTTCTGCAGCGTTCGGCTCTGGATGCTGGCAAGTCAGTCTGACTCATGGGGGACGTTCTGACTGTCTCCTTGCACCATTTCAAAAGACGTAGGAAAGCTTGAAGCCTAAATCTTACAGCTTTCCAGATAATTTTCCTTTGACTATGAAGCTTAAACAGCATGATTAACAATATAAAGCTGAGTAGTTCTTTGTTTTTATTACAGCTTGATCTGAGCTTCTGTATGTAAAAGCTCAAACTGTTAACACTGTCAGACTCAATTTACAAAGTTTGATCGTGTTACCATTTGTATTTTTAAACCACATTAGCTTTAATACATTATTTCTTATGATTGGAAAATATAGCTTGAATTTGCTCCATTGGGATTTTGAAGTTTAGTCTGGCTTTATTTTTCCTAGCTGCAGACACTCTGAATGTATCCATGAACATTGCTCTCCTTTAGTGGAGTTGGTTGAAGAGAATCTTCATCATTATTAGGGAAATCTCAACAACAGGAGTTGATAGTTCTGGGTCTCATCAAGGTGTGATTAAAAACCAGGGGGTTTTTATCCTGGTCAAATTTCAGTGCCTTTAGCCTGAACAGACTGAAAATGTATACCTGAGGAGCCTTCCCTGGTTCGCACCAATTCTGAAGTGCATGCGTACATACAAATGAAAACAAACTTGTGTGGTTTTGGGGTATGTAAAGATCTTGAGGAAAGCATCTAACAAATGAGAGTAGTGTTACGGACTCGTGACTCCAAGATTAAGTGCGTGCCTAGCTGTTTGCATATGCGTAAAGGAATGCTTGCGTATATGTCGGAGGCTTTCTGAAGAGTTAAGCTACGTGTTTTTCCTGTCATTGCCTTTAATTTTGTAGTCTGCCACAACTGCTATAAACCAGATGATTTCTAGGCTTTGAGTTCTCTGGTTTGGCTAACAGTCCCATGTAGCTGGCTGTTTTGTAGTGGGTGTACAAGACAATCTCTGGTTGGGTTAGATCTTGAGTTGCAAATTAGAGTAGACAGTGGCTGTAACTGCTTCGCTGCTGGTAATGCTCGTTACAGCTCTGGGCTCCTGGAAATGTGAGACTTGTTGACTCCGTCAAGTCCTGGCAAGGACTTGGCTTTGCATAGATCACTGGTTGTCTGTATCGCTCCCTTAGTGAAATTCGAATCCTCCGATTAAAAAGGGAACTGCACTTTTCAAGGGTTTTGCTATTGCCTTTATTAGTCAAAGTCTAGCCCAGAGTGTTGTTTCTGGCCCAGCATACAATTTCACCAACAGAATAGCATTGAGGGCAGACAAGTAATGCTAGTTGGCAACCTGAGGTATTTCAGAATATATCAAAGAACTGTCTCTTGTATTTTAAATCGCAAGGACTGTGAGGAGTGACTTCAGAGCAAGTAGTAATATTATTGTCACCTGGCTGAAGATATATTTGCAGTGATTTTCTTTGAATTCAGGGCCAGGAGCGGACCTGTTAGAAGTATGCCTGAATTTAGGTGCCAGGTCCGTGATAAATTGGGTCCCTTGAAGAGGGAATGTTTACTGGATGTTGTAAGTGGATAAATATATCGCAGCAGTTGAGAACTGCAGAGTTTTAACCCTTCAAATTGTACGTAAGGTCTGATCACTCTACATAGACAAGTTCTACACTTGAGTTAAGCTTAGTTCCAATTTAAACCTTGATTTTGGAACTAATTGTCTTGACTAACAATTTTTGGGTAGAAATGTTTCCACTGTTACTCCTTACACTAAAATCAAGGAGATACTTGCAGACCTGCTTATGTCTGTTGTTGACTTAAATGTGTGTTTTGAGTGATTAGTTGGTTGACTGGCCAACAGTGGCTTAGCACACATCTTTTAGGTTATTTCAATGGAAATATTTACACATAATTGTTAAACTTATCACAGCACGGTTTCTGTCAGCTTAGAATTGGAAAAAGTTGCCTGTTATTAGTACTGTGAAACTTCAGACATCAAAAGTGGTATATTAAAGTAAACGAGGAAAATGAACCAACTTTATTGCCTGACTTGTTTTGCATTTGATATGGTGATGGTAAATCAGATGAAAAGCTGAGCTGGTCTTGTGTAATTAAATAATAATTTTAAGTTATTAGGGAAAGTATGGACTTGTGGAAGAGAAATAACTCAGTTGGCCTGCAAAAGCTTTTCTGAATGCTTCTCTTAAATTTCAGCTTTCTTAGGGTTTTTTTAGTAGTCATTTTGAAAAAAAAAAAAAAACAAACCAAAAACATGCAGGGAATTAAATCAAGGTATGTTAAATAACGTGTAGAGCTACTATTTTTTTCTTTGTTTTCTAGTTTACTTAGGAACTTTTGTTACCTTTATCATCTCTAGGTGGACTGCAAGCATTTTACGAGCTAGTTTAACTCAGCTAGCATACATAGATTAGGCCAATGCAAGAAGCTTTTGTAAAATCAAAAGCTAAAGGAACAGTCAGATTAGCACATACATTTCTAAATTAAGCAGTGAGTTTACAGAGAAATCAAGAAACCCTTAATTTTATTCATTTGGTTTTCTGTCTCTACTTCAGTATATCCAGCTTATTATGAACTTGGCTATAAGTCTTAAATACTTTTAGTTATTAATTTATAGCACAATGATGTCTTTAGCTGCAGACCTATGTGGCAAAAAAACCCTTTCAGTGTCAACGGGCATTTCAAGCATTGATTTCTTTATTAAATAGACCTGTGGTATTTTTAAAGTCTGTTTGTGTTCTTACTTTTGAAGTGATGCTGCTGAGCGGTGTGTATCTTCATGTAGATGTCTTTCAAATATTTGCGTGTTTCTTACAGGAACTAAGTGATCTGCAGCGAGACCCACCAGCCCACTGCTCTGCTGGACCTGTCGGAGATGACTGTAAGCTCTTCATGATACATTGTCACAGCTGACCTTTTTTCAGTTAAGAAACAGCTCGGAAAATCTCTAATTGTTGTGTCTTTTTGACTTTCAGTGTTTCACTGGCAAGCAACAATTATGGGACCTGTAAGTATATAATTCATGCCCCTTAGAAAGTAGACCTCGTTTCCTTTTTTGTTAAGGATTCACTTGGGTTTCTGTAAACACAGCAGTCAAATGCAGCTGTGCTGTGTACAGATTAAAGGTTTTGGGGTGGTATTGTTGTTGTTAGTAGTCCGGTACTAGTTTCTTTCTGTAACTGTTCAAAAATCTTCCCTCTTCATGAAGTTAGGGGTGCTTAATCAGTTAGCTGCAGTGTTTGAATTGGACTGATGTGGGCTGCAAAGTAGAAAGCTTGCTTTTCGGAGATGATCATTTCAATGCTGGAAGATTCATCCATCTGAAAGGAGGAAGAGTGGGTGTAATCCAATGTTAAAGTTGGTAACTGTAAACAAGAGTGATGTTGCACAGGGTGATTTGAGGGCTTTTAGATAGAGCTTATTTGATGGCTGTGATGGGGCTCTGGCAAAAACGGATGGCTTTTGCAAACTGTAGACCAGCAATTGTGGATACCTTTGATTTCTGCGTGAGAAAGGCCTGCTTTCCTTGGGTTGAGGGGGATCTCTAAAGACCCCATTTATGACTTGTCAAGGAAATGGCATAAGAAAGGACAATAAAGCTTAAGAACAGAAAGTTTTAAAGGAAAACTGAAAAGGGTTTCAGCATAAACAACAACATGACCTGAGGGAAGGGATGTTTGTTAATATCGTGGTAAGGAGTTTCTATTTCTAGTGATTTCATTTTGGACTTACTAATTTGGAAAGAAGAGTTTCTGGTTCAGATGATGAACTGAACCACTGTGTGAGTTGGAATTTTGAGACAATACTTAACCTGTTAAGATGCAACATCACACGGTGGAGAAGAGTGGAATTGTTGACTGCTTTGAGGCTATTTCTGCGTTTTCAGCATAGCTGCTCTGAAGCAGTGAAAGATGAGTTACTAATTTGCCAGTGGCACGCTGGAGTCTGTTGTCCCGACTTGTCAATGGCCCAGCAGCAACTGAAATGATTGTGGCAAGTTTTTCTGTAGGATACTAACGCTTTTGCCATTTTTCTTTAACAACGGTGTTCTTTCTCCTACAAAGTCACTCTGACCCTTGCCCTTCTGCATTGCTTAAAGGTAAATGGTGAAACCGCGAAGCAGTTAAGAGTTAACAAAAGCTTATGTGCTCATTGCCACCAATAATGTCTCTGTCCTGAATGACTTTGACCCGAGTAAGGGAAATACTAACACAGAGGTTCCAACCTAGATTCCAAGTTTTTTTCTTCAAGCTTGCAATTCACTTTCCATATTCTGTAGTGAAAAATACTCTTTTCTTCGCTACAGGTTCCTCAGATTACTCTAGTTAAAGATAAAAATGAGCATCTCTTGTCAACCTTTCTCAGCCATATCTGCCTACAAGAAAAGAACACAGTCAGTGTGTTAATCCTTTGTTTTGATAACATAAAGAAATAGGGATGCACATCCTGAATGTTTCCTGACGACCTGAGGGAAGCATAGGACTAAAGCTTACCTTCAGAATTCACTTCCCTTGTGTGGAAGTAGGGTAACCTCTCATCAATTTGGTTTACGTACCTTTCTCACAAAACATGCTGTGACTTCACTTTCCCTTCTGTCTGATGCTGAACTTGTCTTACCTTCAGCTTATTTCACCTTTGACAAATCCATTTAGTACGCATCCAAGCAGTCTTTTCAAACCTAACTGGAAGGACAGTGGCAATCTCTTCTGATGTTACCTAATGCTGACTTCTTGGTAATACTATATATAACCTGCCTTACATTGCAACACTGTCTGCACTTTGAGTGTGTAAGACGACATGTCTTAGTGGGCCATTTGTGACTCTCTTATATTCACCTCTAAAACTGTGATTTTTGCTCATTTCCAAGGTAAATGTTTTATTTAAAACAGCCTGCCTTTGTTTCGGTAAGAAAACCCCAAAACTTGATCTTCTGCGCCTTTACTGAGATCGAGTTCCTATGTTGCTGTTTTAAACTTACAAAGTAAGGAGAAAGGTTGTCTTCTCCTTCCCTTAGTCACATGGCAGCACTTCTCTCTATCCTTTAGCATTGAGACTTTCCCCCTCACTTTTCTAGTTAATAAAAACCAGAGATTGCCTCAACAGATGACTGCAACAAAGTTATTTCTATCTATTAACTGTGTGCAACCTGGCCGTAAACCTGTGCACATGTTCTCTAACAAAATGCATGTTCACAGATTTGTACAGGTCACAAAGATGTTGTGTGTTTTAAAACTCCCTGATGTCATCATGATCAACTGAATTATGTTGGAAAATCCTACTCTTTGCATCTGCAAAGAGAAACCACTTCTTAAGGTAAGTATATTTGTAGCTTAAGGATGGAGGAGGATCAGAGCAGCTGTGGTGTTGCACGGAGGCAGGATTTGGAAGACCTGGTCTGGGTTTTGCATTCCCTTTGGTGTGGTGGAGCTGATGGATCAGCACTTTTGTAGCTCCACCAGTCAAACTCTGCTCCCTCCCTTTCTCTCCCCAAGAAGGGCAGCACTCAGTAGCCGTATTGCGCTGCTGCGGTAGTAGCCATGGTTGGCTCTGCTGTAGCTCTGCAAGGCCAGTGGGAGGGTTCAGTTCCCTCTCTGCCTTCCCAGTACACAGCCCATAGTGGGCTGTGGCCCATAGCATGGACTGTGTACTGGGGTAAAAAATGGATTTTATAAGATACTCATAGCTTTGGGAGGTTACCTGTGTTCAGAAGGGAAGCTCCAAAAATAACTGAAATACATTAATACATTTTGTCTGTTTTGTTTTTTTCCCCAGCCTGATAGTGCATATCAAGGGGGAGTATTTTTTCTCACAGTACACTTTCCAACAGACTATCCTTTCAAACCACCAAAGGTAAGTCCTTTCTCTCAAAACATAGCAATCTTTTGGTCAAAGCTTTATTTCTGCATCTTAATTCTTTGGGACTTAATTTTGGAAGTTAAAACCAGGAAGAACAGCGATAGGATGCATGTTCATAGTGGATGAACAGATAAGACAAAGACAAATAAGACAAAGTGTAGGCAGATCTGGTATGACTGGGACTGAAGGGACAACGTGAAGGGTTCCAAATGTAATAAACAGAATTTGATGTTACCTGTTTTTTATTTATCTTTTTTTATTCCAGATTGCTTTTACAACAAAAATATACCACCCAAACATAAACAGTAATGGGAGTATTTGTCTTGATATCCTGAGATCGCAGTGGTCACCAGCTCTGACTGTATCTAAAGGTAAACTCACAGGTTTGCTAATGGATTTATAAATTGCATACGCTGCCATGGCGCTTTTTTGGTGTATTACTGCACTGTCTAAGGGTGGTAGTAGGAGCTCATCTATCCTGCATGTTACAGAAGCAGCAAATTCCATTGGAATTCTTGTTATGATCTGAGATCTTGCACAGTTTATTTGGACTGTCACATTACATAAAATATTATGCGTATGGTGAAGAAATGTTCTAAAACAAGTCGAGTAAGATACTAAACGTCCAATTAGCCTGAAATGCAACTTCTGTACTATAACTGACTCTGCATGCAGAACTGAGGAGAAACTGGTGAAGAGAGCTTCAAAATCAAATGAATTGGGATGTAAATGGAAAACCCTGATACTGACGTGTGTGGGCTTACCCGATTGCTTATTGACCGCTCTTTGGGTTGCCTGAGCATGCTTGTGTGGGCTAAGGTCTTAATTACACTTTATTTTAAAATGAGATAATTGTTCTGGTTTGCATTCCTCTGCAAGATTTTAAAATGTAGCTGCTTTCGAAGTCATCAGTAAAAGATTTGTTAAAAAATTCTAGTCCTGTAGTTAAACCTCCTCAAGTTGAACACTGTAGATTTTTGGAGCATTGAGGTTATGGCCAAGTGGTTCTTTTGTTGTAGGCATTTTGCGTCACTTCAAAAGCTGCTTAAAATGTGGGTGCTATCGTTTTTTTCTCACCCATCTTCAAAATGCTTAGGCACACTTAGTCATATTACAGAAAGTTCTCATGTGACTCAAAAGGTTAAACAGTATCACATCTTGCTTATGTGTTTGAGAGCTCTCTAAACCGTGTGTCTTTTTTTAGAACAGTGTCGTTGGGTTTGGTGTACAGGCAAGGAAAAAATTGTTAGTCTTTGTCCAATGGAAATTGCTCTATGCAAGTGCAACTGCTATACCTCCTTGGAGAAACAACTTCTGCTCGTGCGTAACAGCCCTGTGCAGTAATCTCACAAGCTAAATAAAATATAAGTTTAATGCTGTTTCCTGATGTAGCTGCCATGACATGAATTACTTTTGGTTGGTATTAACTTTCCACATAAATTGGTTGATTGTTTTATTGCTGAGGGAAAAAATTGTCTTGTTTCTAGTTGTTTAGAAGATATTTAGCGAATAAGAGTTGGCGCTTATGTTTAACAGTTGGCATTTACAACTGAAAACTCCTAAAGTTTTTAGATCTTCAGCACTTTCCTGTGTCTTTACTTGCTGAGCATTCCCTTAGTTATAAAGAGGAGCTGTCTGCTGGTCGTATGTGTTCTGATCTGACGTGCTTTTAATGTGCTTGCACGTTATGTATTTCATAAACTGGAAATAAGCTCAGTGGCTCGTGGAAGTTTCTCCTTTGTAGTTCTTGTTCTCCTGAATCAAAGGATTACAACATACTGATAGCACCTCCGGTTGGTGTGACCAAGTATTCTAACCTCATTTTCTAGTACTGCTGGTGTATTTGGCACTTAATAAAATGAAATATGTCAGTATGAAGTGGTTAAACTTGCCACAGCTGAAAACAGGTGTTAGTCCAGGCTCTTCTGTAACATAAAGCAAGGAAAAAAAATCCTATTCTACAGCAGATTCTTGTTGTAGCATCGAATTCCCTCTCACTGCATGTTTAGAATTGTTTAACTGTGTACTCTTGTATTCATATTAGTTCTAAGTACAAAAATAGAAATTTCCTGAAAAGCATGGACTGAAATATTTTAGAAAAATCAAATGTCCTTGGTTCAATACCAGGAAATGAATACGGAATTATAAATTAATACCTGCATGTAATACTGATGAAGTATTTTCCCAAAATGGAAGTCACACTTTATCAAATTAAGTGAAATATTCACGTGAAGGGAGAGAATAACTGTCTGCACAGAGTGGAGAAGGATACGCACAAATAGAGCATTGCATGGCAGTGTGATATTAACAATATTGTCTTAATTGTAGATGGAAGAGCTTAGTTTGAGCAAATATTTTGAGGTGACAACGTAGTCTGTAGTTCGTTTAATGTTCATAGGTTAAAACATGGGAGAGGGATCATTACAAAAGGAGCAGGTCCATGGGTTGCAAGTTTTCTAGGCTAGTATCAGGTGGTGTTTACTTGGGACCTAGAAAAATGATGCTGTAGAAACATTTCTGAGCAGAACTAGAACTGCTATGTGAAAGCTTAATACTAATACGCATTCTCTTTCCAATCTCCCTTCCGCCACCCTCCTTCGGTGTACTGGAATATATTAAAGGATTATAGAAATAAAGCAAACCAACTTGTTTAATCTAGTGTCTCTTTTATTTAGTTTTATTGTCCATATGCTCCTTACTTTGTGATCCTAATCCAGATGATCCTTTAGTACCGGATATTGCACAGATCTACAAGTCAGACAAGGAAAAGTGAGTATAACATAAACATATTTGTGTGTGTGGTACTTGCAGATGGTTATTATTTGCTATGCACCTTCTATCTTTTAAAGATGCTCTTTTCATAGATTTCTACAGGATTAGATTTTTAAATCTTGAAAATACTGATCAGTGGAATGGCAAGCAGGAAACCATAGGCATACATGGCTGTTGGATACCCCCTTTTTTTTTTTTTACTTAGTTGCATAAAATCTTCACGCTTTTGTGTTGTATATTTATATTCTTTGCATGAAAAATCATTTCCCAAACACAAATTATTTGTTGCTACTGTGATCCTCTGGTTGTAACACCTGTGCCTTAAGAAAGATGTTAGGTATGAACAACAAATGTGGTTTTGACACAATTTTGTAAATGTAGGGTAGACTAATACTCAGCTCTGTTTAGTGCTAAGAACCATTGTCACGTGTATTGCAATTTGCAGCGTCTTACAGGGAAAAAGAACCTCCTTTACTTTATGGAACAGCTGTAGAACTTGCAGGAACTTTCTCATCTTGGGTAGGTAACATGGACAGCGCATAACTGAAGCATGACACGCTTCTGGACCAAACCTGATTGTGATTTGAGGAGTTTTAACTCTAAAAATACTATATTGACTGAAACACCTGTGCTGGGGTCTTCCATAGTCTGAAATGACCTGGATTTCCCAAAGCTCAGTGTCAAGGCTTGCTGACTCCTTGTTGTATATCGCTCCTAAGGAGGGTTTTGAAATGCTGTCTTGTAACTCTGTACATGGCTGAACCCTCACAATAGCAGATAACAGGAGTTAGAGGTTGCTAGCAAGCCCAATGCTTGCCATAGCAGAGTTTTTCTAGAGCAGTACCTCTCTAGAGTGAGTCCTTTTGCCACTCACGCTTTGAATAGTGAAACTTATGGATATCTAAGCAGCGATGCATTGATTTCTTAAGAGTTTCTTGCAGTTGTGGGTGGCAGGAAGCTCAGGCCCTTTATTCCACAGATTAGACTGCATGAGTTTCAAAGGGTTCCGTGGAGGAAATGCTGCCTGTGTGAGATTTTTATATCTTTGCTGCTTTCTGCTGATAGATCAGCAGACCTGCTTCTCCTGGGCTTACAAACTTTAAAAACTTTGCGCACGGAAAAGGTTACAGAATTGGTGATCCAGGAAGGAAATATTTTGCTTACTGCTAAAAAAAATCTGATGACCCCTGCTGCTGTAGGTGTTTTGAGCACAATCCAGGGTACAGACTACAGTCTATCAGCATGGCCTGACCTGTCTTCTGTAACAGGGTTTTAGCACCTATGGATTTTCGGGGCGGGCATTAAGACAGACTGAAACACAAGATTAAGTTAGGATAGTAACAAGGAGTGGGAGTCTCTGAGGTTTTCCAAATACATCCAGTCCTAATTTGCCAAGAATGGAATAACCTTCCCCAGAATGAATTTCTCACAAATTTTCTGGTGGCCTTGACAATAAATTAAATAGCCATGCAGCACGTTCATCGCCAGCCTAACCACTGCTGTTTATCTGATGACTACTTCAAGCTGTGGGAAAGGTTATGGATTTAATTTGGGGCAGGCTTTTTATCCTTGGCACTTAAGCTGCTTTTTGGTAACCTCGCTGTTAGCTATTTTAATCATTAGAGACTCTGCTTCAGATTCGGTGGAATGTTTGTGATATTCAGAAGAATTTTTTACTTTCTTGTTAACTGACTGAGAAATTGTTTGGTACCTGTTTTTTTTTAGTACTGAGCCATTGAAGATTTCTTGCAGTGCATGCTAACTGCCTGTGGTTCATCACATACCACAGGTCCATGAAGATTTGAGTATTGGTTTTACCTTGAGGACTGGATAGAGGAGTGATGTAGAAGTGACATGGAAGCCTATGGTCTAGTAGTTCTCTCCCTGTAGTCAAAATCACTACAATGGCCTTTTTCTGACAGTTTGTTGTCCCATACGATCAAATCACATAACCTGAAGTGCTTGAACTCTGTGGCTTGTACTGCAAAGCCGACGGTGTTCAAATGGAGGAGGATGTCCCTCTGCTTCTGCCTGTTTGTGTCTCAGCTTTTGTCCATCTTAGCAGTGATCTCAGCTGTTGTGCCTCCAGTTTTTGAAGGAAGTGAACAGGGGATATTTTTCTATCTATAAAATCTGAAATGTAGTCATTGCTGGAGAAAGTGAGAGAACATGCAGTCTTGACTATGGCTTTATCTTCTTACGCTGATCACCTATTCAATTTTTTTAATCTCAGCTGGGATTTAGGAAATTAAAGACATGGCTAGTTACCCCTGAGCATTTATCTATGGGTATTTTACTATAAGTGAAAATCTGAAGTCTCGTATGGTAGCGTGTTCTTAAGAACAAAACCAGTTAGTACATGAGTTGCTATGCTGATCTTAAGAAATGGATTTAAAAACTTGTCACAGTTTTCTCTGGAGGACCCAGAAAAAGCAAATCTAGTCTCAAGAGTGGAATGTAACAAATGTGAGGACCAGAGGGAAAGCTAGTGACTCTCTAGGACATTTACCTTTAGGAGTGCTAGCCAGCTTCATATCAGAAGGAAAAGACCCAAGACTTAAAATTTAGTCAAAAAGTGCTTTTCGGGAAATGTTCCTTTCAGGTTCTGAAATGCAGAATGGAGAATAAAAAAATCACTGTGCCTTTTATCCCCACCCTTTCCAAAGCCAGTTAATTATACTGAATTTTATGCACCTAGAATGCGTGAACTTTGTCAGACTGTTATACAGCATACACGTTTAGGAATAGTTGACGACAAATTCCTGTTAAGATACAAATAAGGGAACCAGTTGTGAAATGCAAATTAAGTATGCACAATGATACGCGTTTTAATACAAACCGTTTGAGTCTAAATAGCTTTGGTAGGTACCCTTAGAAACTGAACGTACAGTGGGTAGATGTTTCTTGGTTTATGGACTGTTTTAACGTTATTTGAACCAATGCTAAGAGGTAAAAAGCTCAGTAACATCTGTATTAAGTAAATATGTGGCCATTGTCTATCACTAACAGCTCTTCACTGTAATGCCTTCTTTCTGCACGTACAGATACAACAGACATGCAAGAGAATGGACTCAGAAATATGCAATGTAAACTTGTGAAGACTTTTTCATATACCACAGAGTACTGTAAATTCTAGGGGTTTTTTCAAAATTAAAAGGAAATGGAGCGCAGTTTACTGTTTCAATGTATCATGATGCCCCTTGAGTTTTTTTTTTCACCCATGTGAGTGTGTTTCTGGAGCAAGGGAGAACAAACTTCCAAAAATAACCTTATGACTGTGATAAGAATATTTATCCTCCTTGTATGCTTTGCAGAAGACATTTATTACAGTTTTTAAGAGTTGGACATCTGCATCTTCAGACTACGAGATCCATAATGCAGTTGTAAAGCAACCAAATTATTTTTGCTGGAAAAAGTAGCTGGTTTTATGTGATGAATACTGTATGTGTGTCCTTAAAGTATGTTGTCTGTTTCATAAGTGTGTTCAAATTTCATTTTGTTAGTTCACTTATATAATTTGTATTTTTTTTACTGTATAGTCTAAGTATTTTATTTACCATGTAAGTAATTTCATTTTAGACTTACTTGCTTGTGCACAGTATTGACAAGATACAACTGCTAGTAATGAAAATAATGGGAGTATCCCACCGGTTAGGATATTCTAAAGACTGACTGCAGATTTCTTAAAACCTAAAATGATCTTTGCACTGTAATTCTTTGTACGCTGATTATGGAGAAACACTTGTTTTCGATTCTGTTGCATACTTGACTTAATTTTATTGCAATGTGAACTAATTGCACTGCTATGTAGAAAGATGTGTAACCGTTTTGTTGCTATTCACAAAAGATTTTTGACATGTGGGCAACATAACACTATCACAGACCTTTTACAAATCTTAAATGTAGCCTTTTCCATATAAATAAAATGCATTTTCTACTACTTGTCTTGGCTTTTTTTTTTTTTAATCATGCATACCCTGGAAGTGCTTGTTCTAACATTAAAGACTCAAATTTTAAGTGTGCATGTGTGGTGGAGGCAAAAGGGAAAGTCAAGCCGTGCATCGTGTACTACCAAGAACAGTGTTGCCATTAATTTTCATGCTAGCTTTGGCCTAATTTATTTTGCATGCTATGCCCATTGTTTTATACAGGATTTCAACTAGTTCAGTGACACTTTACATCTATATTAATTTATGGAAGAAATAACCCCAAGTGTTTGACCATCAAACACTTAAGGTGGGGTATTTGTGGTGTCAGAACGTTACAGTAAACTTGAAGTGAACTTTTCCATTAACTGGCACTTTGGTTGCTTCAGACTCTGCATGTGGAAAACCAGTAGTGCTGGAGAGGGACGGTCTTTCCTATAAAGCAGATTAAAAGCAGTAGGATTTTGATTTCCTGCCTTGATACATTCTTCTTGGGTATCTGAAAATAAAAATGAGTGACTTCCTGTTTTTCTGTGTACCTTGCACATGAAAGGAAAGTGAGTTGCAGTTGGGAAATTTGTCATCGTAAGAACACATTTTTACGACTACAAAAACAGTTGGGTTTTTTGCTGTAGTGAATGCCAAACTGGAATTTGGGTTGTGGGTGGGAAGCGTGCACAGTAGGAGCTTTTATTTATTCTTGGTGTTGTTATATATAGTATAAGGATATTGAATAGTTATCTTTGTGCTTGCTGACCTATTGACCGAAGTGGTGCCAAGTTGGTCACGTATGGGGAAAATGTCACTTCTGTGCTATCACTGATGTAACGATGACTTTTGAAACAAAAGCTTGATGGAGAACGGCTCTATTGATCTTCAAGTATCCTCATTCAGAATGGAAGCTGAATAATTGTGGGGGTTTGGGTTATTAAAATGACTGCTTCGTTATACTCGAGCTAGGACAACGTAGCTAGGGGGGCAAAGCCATTGTTTGTACTTAACTGCTGAAAGGGTGGTAGAAAGCTTTGACTGTCGGGATACTTTCTTTTTTTCTGGATCGGTAGTCATCTGTTTGTACTGAAGTTATTTAAATGTTTGCAGTATTGGTGTTGAACTGTGTGAAACGGGAAGTTTGACTTGCACCCGGGAATGCTCTCCTTTGGTTTACGGATTTGTATTAGGGCTGGTTCGCAAACACTTGGACTTCAACGGGTTCGTTTTTCTGCTGCGTGCCGTACGTGCGAGAATGACTTCGAATCGCAGCGCAAGAGCAGCGCGATGATCAAAAAACCCCCAAGACCAACAAAAAGGAGTACAGCGTTCTGCTACAGCCTATTTATATATTAAAAAAAAAAAAAAATTTGTAATACGAAGGGG